AAATCGAGTAATGAAGTGTCGAAGTTACCCTAATTTTCGTGATCTACATTTGTAGATCATTGCTGATTGTAAACTTTGTCCACCGAGCGTAAAGCTCCGTAACAATTATTATATGTATATGCAGGTAATTGGGCTTATTAAAAATCGCTGATCGGACTATTTCATATTGTAAGATCGAAAATAATTACATCGTTAACGTTAAGTTAATCGCTGTTTTGCCATGTCTGTGTAGTCACGTAGCCATATATGTACGTAGTAGATATCCACATGTACATACTCCAAATAAAGCAAATAAAGAAAAAAATCATAAATACATGTAATAATCGCTGTCTCACATTTCAGGATAATCAATACATGTATTATATTGGCTATTTTTATACCATTCCAGATACCATGCAGATTCTATTGAATTTATATTGTTTACAATAGGATCTGCATGGTCGTTAGATCGAAAATCTCGTATTCAATACCCATTCAGTATAATAAATAAATCCCCAGTTTATATCTGCGGCCGAAAAATCTCAATCCTCAGCTAGATAAAATCTTCAACTAAAAGAGTCGACTGTAAGAAAATTGTTAAGACCCAATGTCGCAAATGTCTCGGGAATGATGAAAGTGTTGAAATAATGGAGTCAAATCTTGAGACTCTAGAAAAACCTGTTACTGAATTGTCTTATACTGTAAGCAAGAGAACTAATTACAGTTTTATAAAATTTGCACAATCTTTTTCTCATTAAGTTCATTTTTTAAATCTTTTCTCGTATACATAAAATACATGTAATTGTATCATAGCATATCGTCATTATGTAATTTAATATAAAGCTCCGTAACAATTATAATTATTATATGTATATGCAGGCTTATTAAAAATTATCAGAAATCGCTGATCGGACTATTTCATATTGTAAGATAATTAATTACATTGTTAGGCCACATGTAAACATGTGCGTAGACCACATGTACATATTCCAAAGAAAATGCTATATAAATCATAAATAATAATCACTCACATTTCAGGATAATCAATACCGATACTGCATTATAAAATTTGCACAATCTTGTTCTCATTGAGTAAGTTCATTTTTTAAATCTTTTCTTGTATACATAAAACACATGTAATAAACGATGATTCTAAAAACACCAAAGTGTGTGTACAAACGGAAATATGCATAAAAAATTAATAATTTTGTTCATTCGGTAATATGCATAAAAAATTAAACACCAACTCTTTCATGATGCGAAGGAAAAAATATTATCTTTAAATCTTTCCTTGTATACATAAAATACATGTAATAAACGATGATTATAAAAATACCAAAGTGTGTGTACAAACGGAAATATGCATAAAAAATTAATAATTTCGTTCAGTTGGTAATATGCATAAAAAATTAAACATCAACTCTTTCATGATGTGAAGGAGAAAATATTAAAATTATTGGTGCTTTAATTACGCTTCCATCCATGTTTATTTTCCTTGATTTCAGCCACTCTAAATGCCGAGATATGTCTGTGTGTCCATATGGTTTTGATATTCCAAAGTAAAAAAAGAATTTACCTCAAAGCACATTGGTTCTAAAACTATTTGCGAGTAAACTTTAAACTACTAATTCGATGTATATTTATATGAATTATTAGTTCACCGGAGATATTGAGATCATTTCTACCATCATGAAAAACTTATAAAAACGTAATGAAATCTTCATTTTCACCTAGTGAATATTAGGTATTTGAAAATAAAATGAATGATATCGAATATTTATCAAAAACTGAGAGAAAGTTTCTGAGTGAACACTCTTATCCTCTAACTCTCACGATTGATGAGTTAACAAAGCCTGCAATAAAAAAAAATCGTAATCATGATCCGAGACCACAAAACTGTTGGGTTATATTTCGAAAAGATTATGAAGCTAATAAACGTCTACAGAACCCTGATGCTAAGAAAACAGTCAAAAAGATAACAAAGGAATGCAGTTTAAAGTGGAAATCGCAATCGAGTGAGGTCAAACATTTTTTCAAAATATTAGAGAAGATAGCTTTTGAGAAGCATAAGCTTATGTACCCTAATTATAAATATAAGCCAAACAATGCAAAAAGGTCCAACTATAAAAAATTTAGATTTCGAGAGCAGAAAAAATATTTATCTACTTCGCCAGCCAAGTCCAGCGCAATAGATCTTAATTCACCTCAAGAAGCAATACCAATCGACGGGTCGTCACCTTTAACTTTCAATTCACATCAGGAAGCAATACCAATCGACGGGTCGTCACCTTTAACTTTCAATTCACATCAGGAAGCAATACAAATCGACGTGTCATCATCTTCGATTTTCAACCCACATCAGGAATCAATACAAAACGACGGGTTAACTTCAACAACCATTTATAATCAAGATTATACTAATGATTTTGCTCAAAATTCGATCGACACGTTTGATAATGATGATTTTTTCTTTATTGAAAATAATATTATTAACAATAACGATAACAATAGAAATACAGATATATATGAAGCTCTTTTAAACAAATCAATTTCTTCCTATCCAAATGAAATTTATGAAAACAATGATTCAATTAATACTTCAACACCAAGTCCATTCATCACTAATGTTCACTTTCACTTTCACATTTATGATAGAATATGATTTATCAAATATCATTTTTGATAATTTGTTATATGCTAACTTAAATTCGTTTTAATGTCAATATATAATTGAATGCTAGAATGCATTTAGACAAATTTAAACAAATTAAATAATTATGACTTTATTCCTTTTTTCGGCTTCTTCCATTCATAATCTATTCCTTTTTATAAAACATAATATAGAAACATCAAATAATGTCGCAAATAATATTTTTATAATTTATTTGTAACTTTTATTAGATGTATTTCTTAGTTCGTGCGTTCTTTCGTTTATTCGTTCTGTTCTTCCTTTCTTTCGTTCTGTACGAGTTTGTTACGAAATTTGACCCCATTCGATCCAGATCAAATATCACGTGGCGTGCATTTATGGAAAGAATTTTAATTGGAAATGTATTGCATGTGTAGAATAAATTTGCACCATCCGGAAAAATTGTTTGGTAACCTAGGTCGGATTCCTTTATTTATACGAAGTCATGATTCATCGTTTTTTCTTTCTTTCATTCGTTCTGTTCCGTTCCGTTTTGTTCTTGTGATATACCTCTTACATGTTTCTAAATAAAAAAATATTAATCGTACAATTATGTCATATTTTTATTACGTATAATATGCAATTGATCGGTCTCACACAAACACGTTCTGCAGATAAAGCTGTGTTGATTACACGGTCTCTTTTACATAGATAAAATGAAGAATAAATATTTTATTTAAGCATTTCTTTTTCTGTAAATTGCATCTATTAAAAAAGAAATATATCTTTAAAGCGAGCCCATAACTAAATATATTTCATCAGTAGGGATGTTAAATGGTCAAACTGGTTCAGTTTAGGTTCCGAGCTGGATAAAACGTGATCAATCTTATGCAACTTATTCTTTAAAGCGAGTTAAGAAATGAGTTAATTACATAGCCAATTAGTTTATAACCCGTTTTTTCTTATACCGAAAATCCCTTAAATGAATTTTGCTTACACTTATAAAAATTCTTTTTTAGAATTATATTCAAGTGACAAACTAGTTCGAGACGGTTCAGTTGAGTAGCTCGGAAGCGTATTAATTTAGGAACCAGTTCCTGAGTTTGCTGGTGGAACTGTTTCTATCATTAACTCAAACAGGTAAACTATCGGTTCTAAACCAAACTCTATTAGTTCGGGTTTAACTGGTTCTATTTCCCTATATATCTGTATTTTTATAGTTATGATTATGATTATTACAAAAAACATTTTCAAATAAAATAGGAAATTGATTCACTAAAGGCCTCATAGTTTGAATTTTGGGAGCATCATCATTTGTAAAGTTATTAGATAATAATTATAAATAGTTGTTGAAATTATTAATGTTAAAGATGGCAACCCATCGATTTTTATTGTTTCTTGAGGTGAATTGAGATTTATTATGCTGGGCTTGGCTGGCGAAATAAATAAATATTTTTTCTGCTCTCGAAAAATATAGTTCGACTCTTTTGCGTTTTCTGGCTTATATTGATAATTAGAATATAAAAAGTCACTCTTAGTTATCTGAAGTATTGGACCGAGGGTTTTGCTTCGAATAACTGAAAAAGCCATATTCAGATAAGTGATAATGCCTTTGTGTACGTTTATGATCCTTACAAGTTATTTTCACTAATATTTTTGAAAAAATGTTTAATCTCACTTAACATTAGGTAGGACTATGTTCGTATATTAGCTTCATATGGCACTTTGTGCCATGATTTGTTCTTTTTTCCCTTAAGACAAGTTGTCATAAATTTTTTGGCAGGCTTCAATTGTGATATTCGATATTATCCATTTCTATTTTTTGGAAGGTGAGATTGTAACAAAGGTTATTTAATTTATATGAAAATTACACAAGAAAAATTGATATTACTTTCTTGTAATTAAGTAAATTTAGTGATTGTGTTTATTATTGAGGTAGGTGTGCTATTCTCTAAGTTCGTGTATTAGGAACATAATAAAAAGTCTATCATTTATGTATCTACTACGACTTAAATTAACAAGTTTAGGAAAGCTGATTATATTAATCTGTAGCAAATTCCATTAAAGCAATTTGCATCAACAATGGTTTATTACATAAAGTTAATTATCGGGTAATACTATTTCTTGGCACGACAAATGTCTAAAGCTAACAGCAGCTTTATATTTTTTTGTTTCCTTATTAATTAATCTTTCTAGAAAACTGTTTGAAATAACAAAATGTTCTTGTTTTATATGTCATTCTCGTCATAATGAACCCTCGATATATGCTAAAAATATGCTATGCAGAGTGACGCTATTTGCTAGTGAAAAAATCAGCTATACATATCCGATTTATCCATTCAATTCGATTAATAAAGTCGTTCCGTATTGTGTACTATTTTTTTTGAAACCTCAACGCCGAGATTTTTTGCTAAACTTACAAGATTATCTGTGGTTAATTCTGAGAGCTTTGTGTTATTACATGTTTCCAAAGTGGTTTGTGCATTTATTCGGCTAGTTTCTAAAAGTATCTCAAGTTTATGTTCGATTCCGTAAAGGCTTGTCTGGATAGAACTGATAAATTCGTTTGATGGTGCTTGTTTTATTGATTGCTGATTCTCTGCGTTTGGTGTGCTGCAAGCTCTTAATGCTTTTTCGAAGGAATTTGGCTGGATTGGTGACATTTTTTATTTGATTTAAATCGCAAATTTATTAGGAATTCTCAAACAGAAAATTTAAATTTATCTCAAATCAAAAGTAAATAGAGGTTATATATATTTTTGGATATACATTAGTAATATGTATACTGTTCTAAAAATAAAATTTCTTAAAATAAAAAGTGTAACATTACTCAGCCAAGTGTGTACAATGTCTATCACTAATGATAACATACCGGTTATATGTACGTAATATGAGAAAACTTAATGATTTATTTCGAATAAAAATTAGAAATCGGGTCATTTTATATACAGTGGCGCTCAAAAGTAATGCCAAGCAAATCCTAAACATAAGCAAAGGCAAGGTTAAAAAATAATACATGGTTCGTATTGGTAATAATATACGAACTTTTTCCCTTTCCTTAGAAATCATCACTTGAAAGAAAAATTTTGCGACGCAATAACTTCTCGTACACAACGTTAAACAATATATAACTAGGCTTATTTTAGTCACTAAATATAAAAGAATTATTATATTTACTTTATTTTTCATCTGTAACTTAAAAAATAAAATACTCCTTTTTACATCAAATTAAGTGAACCGTTTTTTTTGACAGTTTTGATTACAAAAATTCAAATTGAAATTTCTAACTAACTAGCGAATAAAAATCCACCAAATTTTAACTAAATATTCTTTATCATCTAGTGTATCCACCCTTTGCATTGATTACATCTTGGATACGCTCCTCCATACTTTCAATTAGACTTGTTAAGAATGCGTTATCCATTTCGATCCAGACTTTTTGTATCGCATCCCATGAATGGCAATGGATAATCTTCTCAAACGCCGGTCTATTTCGTTCCAGAGATGCTCGATTGTGTTAAGATCGGTGATTGGGAAGGCCAATCAAGTATACAAATTTCATTATCACCAAATTATTCATATGTAGTTTGCCGTGTATTTTAAATCATTGTCTTGTTGAAAGACAATATCCTTCTTATTAATATCATACCACCTAATTGTTTCCAAAAGATCATCATTTAAGCTTCACGGTACAATTTCTTATTCATACAACCATAAATGCGCACGATATTGCTAACGCCAAAGAAAAAGCAACCCCAAATCATTATATTCCTACTGTTATACATTTTTCACTAATCAGGTAATTAGCTAACAAATGTGAACAAGAGTTGGGAGAGGGAATTAAACAATTATAAGAATAATATAAAAATAATATCTAAGTCCTATACCAATTTCTACTGAAATTGTTATAGTTCGAAAAGAGAAAAAGGATAAAGTAATAGGGTTTCAATTAGGTATAGTGTTCTGATTAACTGTACTAACTAATTAATTTACAAATTATTTAATGAACAAATTCTTTGTACTAGTATAAATATATTTCAAAGCTAACAAAATAACAAAAATAATGAAGACTCTTTCACTCTGTTCTTCTCACAAAAAAAAGATTATGATGTCTTTAGTTGAGGAATTCCAAATAATTTGATTATAACAAAAATATCAAAAGACTAGTCTATAACAAAATATCA